GAATAGAAAAAAGAAGAGGAAAAATAAAAAAAAACTAAAAAAAAAAGAAAGAAGAAAGGAAACTGAAAGAAAGAAAAGAAAAAAAATAAAAGGAAAAAAAAGAAAATAGAAAAAGAAGTGGAAAAAAAAAACATAACTAAAAAGAAAGAAAGAAGAAAGGAAACTGAAAGAAAGAATGACTCAAGCATAAAAGGAAAAAAATCGAATAGAAAAAAAGAAGAGGAAAAATAAAACCCTAACTAAAAAGAAAGAAAGAAGAAAGGAAACTGAAAGAAAGAATGACTCAAGCATAAAAGGAAAAAAATCGAATAGAAAAAAGAAGAGGAAAAATAAAACCCTAACTAAAAAGAAAGAAAGAAAGAAAGAAAGAAAGAAAGACGAAAAAGGAAATGACAAAAGGCAACAAACACTTTAGTTTCGAAAGAGAAAAAAATCAATTTCGAAAGGGAATAAATGCCAAACCTAACAAACTAATTAGGAAAAACTTGACGAAAAAAGAAAATGCAGATGACGGACATTTCTGGGTGAATCCAAAAAGCGAACTGGAGAAAGAAGCGAAAAACGTAACACAGTATAATCGTTTTAAAGGGCGAAACGAATTTAATGGAATTAATATCGAATGAAAAGAATTCTTTATCTCTTGTTCTTAACAATTATTTTCAATCAGCCATTTGCAAAAAAAAAAAGAATTTAACTGATGTGTGTCGGCATTTGATTGGTAATAAAGTCATCCAATAAAAATGCATATCGAATTTGATAACGGAATATTGAAGTGTATAATATTATAATTTAATCAAAGAAAACGTTTCTCTCTGTCATGTTTCACTAGGTTCAACTTGGTACTGTATGAAACAGAATAGAGGGTCTTACAATTGAAGTGAACCACTCTGGTTTGGTATTTGCTCACCTTGGCTTCCTATGACACAGCCGACTGGCGAGTATTTTTTAAAAGCATTTCAAGGCGTGGGTTCTACTAGCACGTAAGGGGTTACCGAGAGTCAGAGCATGAGTAAAGAAGGTTGTTTGAGGGAAGGATATAGAGAAAGACGGGATCAAGATCAGGGCAACACAAGATGTCGATTGACATTATATTTGAATATTTGAAGGTTATAGCTATCAGGGAAGCAAGTAAGAGGAAGGGAGTTCCACTGTCGGGAAGTGCGAGAGAAGAAGCTGTTGGAGTAGAAGAGGCTGTTAGATTTCGACAATGAAAGGGTGGGAGCGAGATGCCAGCTTAGTAGCACGATTAAATTAATGCAGTTTGAGTACCAGAGAAAGTAGCTTTGCAGTTGCTATGAAAATATTTGTGCAAAAAAAATCAGAGGGAAGCTTTATCACGTCTTTGAAAAAGTGACTGTAGACGAGATGCCAGATCAGGACATATCACATTGTATATCTGTCTCTGGATTTTACAAGTAGATATGTATTCCGCGAATCTTATTAAAGAATGGACCTGTTTGACTTGCTATTTGCTCGTCTCGAGGGAAATAACAGTAAGATTGTATTCCGCCAATCTTCCAAGTGAACTGCACACTAATAGACGGATACAGTACAATGCCAATAGTGGATAATTACCGGTAGATTGTATTCCGTCATTCTTCTAAATTGTTGAACTTGTTTGAAAATAGAGTACTGTTGCCATATATAGGCAGGAGCTGCTCAGTCTTTAATTGAATGCGTCTCCGCGTCCTTATGGGTGATGAATTATTTTCCACCCTACGGCCACTTTCCGACAGACGAAACGTCGCAAGGCTCTCACTGATGTATCCTTATTTCCACTGAAAGTGCTCAGACGAACTACATTCATTAGTCTCACTAGCTCCACCCTTCAAGGCTAAGACACGTCATGCCACGTTTATTTACAGCGAACCACTGTCATTGATTACTGCTGCTATACATGGGCAGGAGCTACTGAGTCTTAACTTTCCAATCTCGATAGAGTTCAAAAGCGTCTCCGTGTCCTTGTGGGTGATGAATTATTTTCCACCATCCAACCCCTTTACCACATTTCAAAATGTTGCACGCTCTATTGCTGTTTCCATTGAAATTGTTCAGACGGACGACTTTCCTTAGTCCCAGCCGTTCTAATCTTCACGGCTAAGACCCGTCGTGCCACACCCAAGATCTGCCATGCCACGCCCATTGTAGAGAACCACCCTCATTCCCTTTGTATTCCATCGGTGAGATGTAAGTTCCACTCGAGCCGTTTCTTCTTACGAACGGCTCCATTGTGGAATCAGATCAAAGATTCACCTAGAAATACTATAACCTTTCAACTTGAAAGACCGATATGCCAAACCCTGTCAAATGCTTTAAAGATATAAAAAACAACAGCCCAAGTTTCACCATTCTTATCTAAAGCTTGATAGACACTTTCAGCAATAATCATTAACTTATTAGCAATTAACCTAGAGAAGTGAAAGCCATATTGCTTATCTGAAAAGAAGACCCCATGATGTGAGATGCTTAACCAATTCAGAATTAATTAGAGCCACTAGTTTGTTTTTTTGTTTTTTTACCAACAAAATGCTTCCGGCGCGACTGCTCTATGGCTTATTTCCATGGAAAGTGTTCAGACGCACTACAATCCTTAGTTCCGCCCGTTCTAAACTTCACGGCTAAGACCCGCCATGCCACGCCTATTGTAGCGAAGCACCGTCATTGATGGGCACGATCTAACAAGTCTTTACTTTCCAATCTCGATAGAGTTCAAAAGCGTCTCCTTGTCCTTGTGGGTGATGAATTATTTTCCACCCTCCAATACCTTTACCACATTTCAAAATGTCGCAAGCTCTATCACTATTTCCATGGAAATTGTTCAGACGAATTACATTCGTTAGTTCCACCCGTTCTAAACTTCACGGCTAAGATCCGTCGTGCCACACCCAACATCCGCCGTAGAAAACCACCCTCATTCCCTTTGTATTCCATTGGTAAGATGTAAGTTTCATTCGAGCCGTTTCTTCCCACGAACAGCTGCTTTGTGGGGCAGAAACTAAATAGGACAATCTTAACCTGTTCAAGTCTATGGTTAACCGTTATCTTCCATAAACTCTGCCTCTTGCCTCTCACTGTGTAACTCTCTACCTCGCGGGGTTCTTGGGCCTTCTACAGAGTGCACATTGTTGCAAAAAATTAAATTGAAATATAAAAATTATAGCGTTGAATTTTGGTAATATAAAGCCGATTAATTTGAAATCGTCTTCGTCGTCATCATCGTCATCATTATCATCGTCATTATCATCGTCATCATCATTGTCATCATTATCATCATAGTCTTCACTAATCGTCGTCATCATCGTCATCATCATCATCGTCATCGATATCGTCGTCATCATCGACATCATTATCATTATCATCGTCATAGTCATCGCCATCACTATCGTCATCGTCTTCATCATCGTCGTCATCATCATCATCATAATCATCGTCATCATCGACATCGTCATCATCATCGTCACCATTATCATCATCGCCGTCATCATCGTCATCATCATTGGCATCATCATCGATAACGTAATCCTCATCATCGCCATCATCATCATCGTCGTCATCGTCATCATCGTCATCATAATCGTCATCATTGTCATCGTCATCATCATCGTCATCATCATCGTCACCATTAACATCATCTTCATCATCATCGTCATCATTATAGTCATCATCGTCATCATCACCATCATCGACATCGTCATCGTCATCATTATCATCATCGTCACCATCATCGACATCGTCATCATCATCGTCACCATTATCATCGTCATCATCGTCGTCATCATCATTGGCATCATCATCGACATCGTAATCATCATCATCGTCATCATCATCGTCGTCATCATCAGCATCGTCATCATCATCATCATCAGTCCCTTGTCGAACCAGCTTCTGTGTTCGCGTCCCTGCTTGTGTCCGCTTTCAACAGTGCCTTCCAGAGTCTTATGCCGCTTGACGAGGTCAAACAATGGCACCTACTGAGGCTTAATAGTGGCCCAGAGGGTGAAAACATTGCTTGAAAGAGTTGCGAGTTCAATACCTACCTACTGCAGAGGTAAACAAACACTTGGAGAGTTGAGTTAAAGGGAGATAACTGAGACCGAGACGTCCGAAAGAGTCATGGCAAGTGGAACTAGAACGATCTAACCAGGTGGGCGAAATAAAGGGTTCGATTGAAATTCCAATCACGTGACGAAGGCCGAAGCGTACATCGACCGAAACATAGTAAATATGGCAACGAAGATGACGACAACAGTCCTAACAATGTAAATAGCGAAAATAATTACAACACCACATCTTAGAAATATAGACAGGTCCTGAAGAATGTCGGAACGTAAAACAGCCGAAACGTCATGAATATAGCAAGATGAAGACAACAGTCCGAACAATGTAAATAGTGTAAATAAATACAATACATCACCCCCAGAAATACAGAGAGATACGAGTACTTTTTTTAATCAATTCACCCCAAACAAGGCGGTAATGACACTAAGACGCAAGGGGTTACTACGAGTGAAAAAGAAAAAGAAGGAACTGGAAATCTCTACTAAAAACAACGTTTGAAGTAACATCGGTGTATGTATGTACGTATGTATAGATAGATAGATAGATAGATAGATAGATAGATAGATATGAGCTTGTAAAGTTGAAAAATAAAGTAAAAGTTTTACTTGGCCAC